TTGGTGCATTAGGTTTTGTGATTTCACCGTAACACGGCCACCGTTCAACCCGAAATAATTCATATAATCCTTTCAATAACTCCGAAGCTGTTCAGCGAAAAAAAAATCAAAAAACTAAAAAACTGCATAGTGTCCCTTTAGTGTGTACACTAAACATGTTTGTCACTTTATGCCAATCACTCCAGTGGAACACAACATGCTCCTTTTGTTGATGATTTCAGTAATGTTTGTGTTATTCTCTCCATATTTCCCCTCCTCATGTTTCATTCTTTAATGAAACTCACCGAACTGAAAGTGGCTTGAAAATATGAGTCACTCATTGGCTCAGAATAGTGTGCGCTCCTCTTGTCGTCTCCTGAAGCTGTCATTGATCTGATGTAGTGTTCATTATGCGTGAAGAGCTGCTGGACACGTCACAGTTCTCCTGCAGTCTCCAGTCAAACCTCTCAACACCAGCCGCTATATATATACACACATACATTCTCCAGAGAACAAGAGTTTGGAAAAGACTTCATTTTTTATTCATATTTAGTTAAGGCATTTCAATACAAAGCATTTCACAACCCACCGTATGACAAAGATCATGTACAATAGAATTTGTTGGGAGCAAACATGCAAAAGAAATTACAACAATAAAATGGTCTATTGTGTGTTGCATCAATCAAATTTTTGTAATTTATTTGTATGTCACAATGTGTGTATTTTTTATTAATAAATAATAATAATAACAATGGCCATGATATGCTGGTTGGCTGCCAATGCCTCAGATGAAAATAAATAATGATTAATAAAATATATTATAATATATATATATAAAACATTCCCAACATAACTACAGAAATAGGAAGAGAAAAAACAACCCCAATCAGTTACTAAAGTTCAGGCCATACATGCACAAGTGTTCAGTGAAAACAGTGTCTACAGTATGTTACATGTGGACAGCGCTCGATGTGTGTGTTACAGGTGCTGCGTCATCAGAGGTCGCGTTAACACAGTATTTTCCTGACTGATTTCTAAAGGGCTGTCCGTCATTTCGACAGATTACACTGAGGGTGGTCTGTAACTAAACTGTAATTCCAGTCCATTTGGTGGAGAGAGAGAAACAAAGATGAAATGAAAACTGTCAAAATGTGCAAAATCTAATGACAAAGTCTCCCCATGGTGAGCACCCAAACGGATAGTTCAGCCAAAAATGAAAATGTTTTCATAATTTACTCACCCTCATGTTGTTCCAAACCTGTATGAGTTTCTTTCTTCTGTTGAACACAAAATACTACAATAATACAATAAAGTCCCCCGTAGTCAATATTTGTATGCCTTAAAACTCGTCTTTGATCACCAAAATGATGTTTAAACGCCTTTTCCCTGTGAAAAAAAGTCTGAATGTAACTCTACACCCTTGCCTTATTTAGTATAGGCAAATCAATGAATATTCAAATTAGCCCCGCCTCCACTCACTCACACCAGCTTTGATTGGTTACAAGGTCGTTTGTGACGTCAGAAACGCCAGCGATGTCAAACCGTGTTTTTGAGACTGTCTTTGGTTCACTGCAGAAAATGCTCAGCAATGCTGTGGACTTATGAATTTACACATGGTTTGTCTTAAAGCATGTTAAAAACACCACGTATACATATAAACAACATTAAAAGCTTGATTTTCACCACAGGGGGACTTGGTATGAATCAAACAGTTGATGGCAGCCATTTTCTTCCTTCTAATAGGAACAAAATCATAGACAGTATAAGAAGTGGACAGAGCGATCTCATTGAAACTCCACTGAGACAAGTGAAGTCCATTTTTAGCGATTATTTAGGACTTCCGTTCCTGACGCGCAGACTCAAACCGACTCAAACAGAGCTTGACGATGTAAATGTGACGTGAGCGACCCGTCTGTCTTCTAGTGGCTGTGGCATTAGAAATCTGAATCATTCCCTCCCTAAACTCGCAGAGACGGAGAGTGTGAGTAAGAGCTGTCCATGAGCGAGGAGCAAGAGAAACTTTTGCTAGGTATTCTGATTAATTATTTTGTCCTTTTGCCTCCACGTTTCCCCGATTGCCTGCGAGCCTCTCCTCCTGTCCATATGGTAATCTCTCTACTGTGCGACAGAGAGTCGCTTGGTTATGACGCAATCGTTGGCCTAATTTTACCAAAAACTGCTTCTATGGGGCCTTAATGTAAGCTACAAGGTAATGGAGCATTTTATACATTGCCGTCGTGATTCTTTAAAAATAAATAATGGACAAATGGAGTCTTGAAACGCCTCAGATGTAATGTTATTCGCTGTCAAAATGACGCCAAAATGAATGGGAGTCAATGGAATTGCTAACGCAAGTGAGGTTCTGCTACAAGATGGCAGCTGCCGCGAGGCTTCAACTTCCGGTCGCTGGATTACCCCCTTGAACAAAATGTCAATGGCTGCCATTAACTGTTTTATTACGAACACTTTTCAAAATATCGTTTGTGTTCATCAGAAGAAAAAAACTCAAGGTTCAGAGCAACATGTGGCTGAGTACATTTTTGGGTGAACTATCCCTTTAACGCGATGCGGACCAGGAAGATGTGACGTTCAGGTAGAGTTAAAGGGTTAGTTAGTAATTGCGATCTGAAGTAGTGTAAGCTGGTGTGAGCAGATCGCAAATCTCGCGCATGCGTCGTGGAAGTCTCGTTCTGGCCTACAAGGAAGAAAAGAAATAGTCGAATAAACTCGTTATTTTTGTTTGTTTTTTCGCACAAAAAGTATTCGCGTCGCTTGATAAACTTATAGTTGAGCCACTGTAGTCACTTGGGATATTTAAACATTTTCTTCATTGACTTTCTGGGCCGTCAAGAGGCAGTCCTTTAGGAGCCAATGTGGTAGTTATACAGCTCTCAAATTTAATCAAAAATATCTTCATTTGTGTTCCGAAGACGAACGAAGGTCTTACGGGGTTGGTACAGCATGGGGGTGAGTCATTAATGACTTAATTTTAATTTTTGGGTGAACTAACCCTTTAAGATCACGTTTTGAGATACCTACTCACTATATTATCGGAATAATTTTTTTTCTTGTAAGTTCTAAAAATGAAAATGTGAACGAAAACAAAAGCTGTTACATTTCTGAAAATTTAAATGACGGGTAATAATAGCCAAGATTGTGATTGAATTTTGAACGTCAAAGTGAAGTGTCGCGACCTCTGGGCGGCGCGCGCTTCCTGTAATATCCCACATTCACGCGCTGTCTTCAGTGATTCAATCCTCATGGACGCTGGTCATTTATTTGCGGAGGTCTGCATTTAATGGCTTATCGTACATTCCAGGCATGAACAAAAATAAATCGATTTTCTTATATCACTTCAAGAAAGGAAAACCAAGAGATCATTCAAAGCAGTCCCATGACTTTGCAGTAAAAAATGCTCCCTTGATGTTTCAGAGAAATTATAGCCTAACTGACAAGAAGTTCTGTAAACTTTAGGTTCATGCAGAAAAATAAAACATTTCACCATTCCACTTCAACATTCACCCGTTCCCATTCACCACTGCACTGTTGGATGTATTCTTGCATTTGAAAATGATTTTAAAATCGCTGCTTTGTAGGCTAATTAATAGTTTTTTCTAATGTGCGCATGCGCTGGTTAGACGGATATATTTTATCCGTGTTTATGTGAAGTTCGTGCCTCAGGAGGACCTTGTGTCGTCTAGCACTTTAGTGCAAACAGTCAGCATTTAAGTTGACATCCAGAGGTTTGGGAGCTTTGCATATTTAATTCTAAGACAAAGCTGTTGTGTTTTGCACACCAATTGTTTAAGCAAATGTCACCCCCTCCTATTTCCGACTTCATTTGAGCCACACTAATGCAGTGGATAACGCATGAATAATATAACGAATTTGTGTGTTTTATGGAGGAACATTAATGTGGCCAAGTGTAAATGAAATCTGAAATAGCCAACTGAATGCGATCATCAAAATACATGAATTGTTTTGTGCATTGGCCTCTGACTGGGATATGCAAAAGCTCAAACCTCCATTGTGTGAGATGAACACAGGGCAAATCTCCTCTGTGCTAATTCCAGCCTTTTATCAGATATTACAAGCACAATGGCGTCCCTGCCAGTAAAAAGGAATTGATGTCACTGATGTAGGATGACAAAGAACTGATGAACCGTTTGAATAGTGGGATTGCTACTGAAAAAGGTCATTTATTTGAAGGCATTGAAATGGACGAAGACAATTCTGGCCCCTGGTTTAGAGAAACATCAATGGCTCCCAAGATGATCCCATTTGGAGAACCAGCAGTGGTGTAAACATTGACGCTTTTGATGGTGAGTTGTTCTGGTTTAGCCAAAAAGAGCAGTTAGACTCTAAGTGTGAAATAGTTTTTGTAATTACAAAGTGTGAGTGTTGAAAATATTGAAATATCCTAAAACACTAGATTTAGAAAATGTTCCTCATACCAGATTGATTCCTGTGTAATGAAGGTCTATCATTAAATGATATGCATAGTTCAACTGGTTTCTTACTGGCATTTACATGGAAACCTTTGGGATAAAGGTTTAGCAGCTTTCTGTTAAAGTAACTATATTTCCAATGATTATCTTGAGAGCAGGGTATTTATATATGTAGTTTAAAAATCTCATAATTTATTCAAACTGAAAAAAGGAATCATTTACTTTAAAAATGTAGAATTAAACAAAGCAAGAATATAGTGTGCAATCAATACGAATCGACTCAACTGAAGAAAATCAAGTGATTTCAATCTGAAATAATAAAAAAACATTATTTTGACAATTAAAATGAGGTGGAGAACATAAATAGAGACGATAAATGATGAAAAGGGACTTTTATGTTTATTAATGTGGCATATGGTGTGTAAAAATCTGATCATTTATTCAAATGGTACTCAAACTGTGAAAATGTGGATTTTAAAAAAAGCAATAATATAGTGTGCAATAAATACAAACTGATGTTGTTAAAAAAATCAGATAATTTATCGAAACAAAAATAAATAAATAAATAAAAATGGTACCAAAACATTAAAAATGTAGAATAAAAAAAGCAATAATAAAGTGTGCAATAAATACAAACTGAAGGAAATAAACTGACAAAAACAAATACATTATAATGAATTTAAAACTGAGGTGTATAAGCATACAAATAGAATAAATAATGAAAAAGGACTTTTTAATATTATATTAATGTGGTATGCGGTGTTAAAAAATCTGATCATTTATTTATAAAATGGTCCTTAACCGTGAAAACGTAGAATTAAAAAAAGCAATAAATACAAACCAATTCAACTAAAGAAAATCAACTGAAAACAACTAAAAAAGAGCATTATTATGAATTTTAAAATGGGGTGTATAAACTAGTGATGGGCGATACCACGTATTTTGTTTTCGATACGATACCGATACTTTCAAGGCCAGTATCGTCGATACCGATACCAATACGATACCTTTAAACTGAACTTTTAAATTAGAAAATGTCTTAAATGATCAAATTACAAAGATTAAAATGGGTCCATTATATTTGAAAGGCATTTTTAACATTCAATATGCCTTAATTGGAATTTATTAAATTATATTATTATTTACACATGGTTAAAATGTTTACTTGTAGTGGTAACCATGGAAATCTACAAAATATTAGAGGCCTATTTGAACTATGCTCACTGTAATGTTCATTTCCATAAGGAATGCTCTCTATGATTGATTAGTTCTGACTTGCAGCATTTGTGTGTGTTCAGTTCAGCTAAGCAGGAAAGTGGTTCTACTACACAATTATTCACTAACATAGGTTATTCATTACGCATATTGTACGCATTCGATGTCTTGTCAAATAAACAAAATCACTGGTAAAAAACCCTGTAGTATCGATATTTTTATTTGAGTATCAATACTTTCGATTCTCGACACCAGTATCGATATATTAGCCCATCACTAGTATAAACGCACATATAGACAGAATGAATGCAGTGACGACATCTAGGGATGAAAAGGGCAGTGATGTTTGATGCTCTGGTCAGCAGGAATACATCTATAATGCTGATGGTTATTATATCCAGACTGGCCTGTAATGCTCCTCCACGCAGCCTATAGCGGCAGAGCACAGATCCATCAGACACTCTGATTTGATTAAAAGCCTCTTGACAAAATTGAGTTGGTGAATGAACTCTAGTTGAGTGTGTGAGCGCTCTGAGCTCATGAGCCGCACTTACAGGCTCCACCACAATGCCATTCCTACAGAAGCACAGAGTACTGAGAGTAGTGCATCATAACTTATTGATGCAGGTTATGCTTCGACATTGACTTTAAGCAGGTGTTCTGTGTGGAATTGTGGGAAAATATAGTCAAGCCTCATTGGAAAAACGTGCCAGTGGTGATATTCCTGAAAAATGATATTGCATTGCGTCCAGCACATCTTGTGTACAGTTTCTCTGAAAGATGAACGTGAACATCTGGCAATGTTTTATTACACTGGTTGTTGTAGTGTTGGGTGTGTGGCGCTAAAATGTTAATGCTCTATCCAGTTTGAAAATAACATTAGCACTTCCACCAAACCCAACATACCTGATAGTGTTAAGAAAAGCAGGTAGAGGCACGTTTTCCCAAAGAGCCGGTGTTGCAACTAGTACATCTCTCATCCCAAAATGATCGTTCTCCTAAACCACAATGGAAACTGACAAACATTTTTCCATAAACATAATAACCCCAAACCGACACAGGCCTGCCCTGATACGTAATGAAAGCGGTACGGATCTAAAAACGCCACGCGCACACTCTAGTGTACCGATGTGGAGAACGGTCCAATGTCAGATTAGGGCACACTTGTCCTGGGACACTGAGACAGTCACACACAGGCACAAGTTGAAACCACAAACATCTCCAACCCTCCTCCGGCTCTTCATCCTCTCGTCAAACGATCCACAAAATAAGAAACAGTCACAGGCCAAGATATAGACATTTTTAAACAAAACAAAAAAAGCTGCCCTTGGGTCACACTGTCCTTCCCAGAAAAAAACGGGCAGAGAATTGAAATGGCACGAACAGAAACGCCACTGTACCTCGGAGTGTCTCGGAGAGTTCAAACACACTGGGAGCGAACGCCTAAAGCTCAGATCTGTGTGTGGTGTGTGTGTCCCGGCGGTGTGTATGGAGGCGGCGCTGGATTGGGTTTGATCCCCCGGCTCTTCATGTAAGAAATGAACTGGTCGGGAATCTCGGCCAGAACGTCTTTGGCCAGTCGTGCCATGCTCAACACGTGGTTCCCCGTCCGGTCCATGTAATCCCGGAACGGCACAAACTGTGAGGGACGGGAAGCAATGCGAACATTTATTCATCCGTTCACCAACTTCTTAAACTCTCTGACTCGAGGCTCCACAGATATTCAAAGCCCAATCCTGCTTGTTATTAACAGAAACTGGCAGTGTCCATATGAATAAGATTGTCAGTACAAAAATTGTAAAACTGTTTGGGAAAATAAATATTAAAGGGATAGTTCACTTTGAAATTAATTTTTGATATGTTTTATCTTACCTCAAGGGCATCCAAGATGTAGGTGTTTTTGTTTCCGGAGTATTTTCAATGTTGATATTTTTAGGTCAAACCGTTCTTGTCTGTCAGTCATATAATGGAGGTCTATGGTCACCACCTCAAAGAGCATGCACAGAGAAGTCCAAATTAAACATGATTTAATGACTCAGTACACATTGATGGCCTAAGACACGAAACGAGCGGTTTGTGTGAAAAAAAAAGGAACAGTATTTATATCGTTTTTACCTCTTGTAACCACAGTCATATCCAATGGATTTGAGGGCGCGAGCGCTTTGTGGCTGTGATTACAAGAGGTAAAAACGATATAAATGCTGTTCGTTTTCTCACACAAACCGCTCGTTTCAAGTCTTAGGCCATCAATGTGTACTTACATTTATGAGTCATTAAATCATGTTTAATTTAAATATTAATATTAATATTAAATCATGCCCTTGAGGTACTGTAAGCTAAAACACACCAAAAATTTATTTCAAAGTGAACTATCCCTTTAACCAGCAAAAACTGCTTTGATAACTTTGATGATAATATTTAAGAAACCAATAATAATGGACAATAACTGAGCAGTAAGTCATCAGAGTGATTTCTGAAGGATCATGTGACACTGCAGACTGGAGTAATGATGTTGAACATTCAGCTTTGATCACATCCAATAAATTACATTTTAAAATATATTCAATTAGAAAACAGTTATTTTACACTGTAATAATGTTTCACAATATTATTTTTTACAGTGTAATATTATAATATTAATGTTTTTGTTGTAAATTTCAATTTACATCTTAATTGTATGCTTTTAGCAATTTATTTAAGTTACTTATTCAATTCATCCATCCATGCATCCAATCAAATTCAATCCACCCATCCAATCCAATCAAATTCCATCCATCCACCATAACCATCCAATGCAATCCAATCCATCCACCCACCCCATCTAATTCATCCACCCACCCATCTATACCATACAATCCATCCATCCACCCAATCCATCCATCCATATAACCATTCACCTATCCAATCCATCCATTCACCCATCCAATGCAATCCAATCCATCCACCCATCCACCTATCCATTCAATTCAATCCAATCCATCCATCCATCCACCCACCCATCCATCCCACCCAATCCATCCATCCATCAAGCCAATACATCCATCCATCCATTCATCAAGCCAATCCATCCATCCACCCAATCCATCCATCCACCCATCCATCCCATCCCATCCCATCCATCCACCCACCCATCCATCCATCCCATCCAATCCATCCATCCACCAATCCATCCATCCATATAACCATCCATCCATCCCTTCATAGACCCAATCCATCCATCCCTTCATCCACCGAATCCATCCATCCAACCAATCCACCCAATCTATCCATCAACCCAATCCATCGATCGATCCATCCATCCCTTCATCCACCCAATTCATCCATCCACCCATTCCATATATCTATTCTTCACCCAATCCATATATTCATCCATCCATCATCACATCATCTCTTCTCTGATATCCTTTCGTCCAGCATAAATCAAACGAAAGAGCTCCACGAGAGTGAATTCTCTTCACTTTTCTAGCTGTCTGTGACTCATAGCCAGAGATATTCTTATTACTACTAATGACAGGTTGCATTCACAGGGGACCCGCATAACGAATTGCTTTATAATAATGTGGGTTATGGTGTGGAGCGGTTACACAAGGGCTCAACTCCACAGTGACTGAATTAGTAATTAAAATTCTCATACTTAATAGATTTGATTGCTGAAAGAAAGAGACAGGTTACAGCAATTAAAAACCCCGAAATTAACATAACATGCTTGCAGTTCAAACACGCTTAAAGAAAGTAGACTGCTACTGGTGTCACCTGGACAATGTCCCGCTCTGCTAATTTCCCTCTTGAGGAGATCCTGATGTCATCACCATCCAACTCAACCATCGCTGTGGAAAAACACAGGAAGTTTAAGTAAACCACTGGACGTTTCATTTATTTGAATGATTCAATGTTACACTTGATTTTCATAAGGGAAATATGTAATGGTTTTGGAATGACACAAAACTTGCTTGAACTATTCCTGTTATTGTGTGCATACTAGTGATGAATTCAGATGTAAAGTTCATTTCAGGTGTCTCAAAACTACTAGGGCCATCATTTCCGTCATCATCTCGTACTGCTTTGACACCAGCTGAATGTAATTGGTCTGAGTAACTATGCACAGAGAGATTTCCATTACGGACTCCTCAAACAACAGACTCTCTCCACATGACCTGCTCACCTCATCCAATCGGAGCGCATCTTCCCCTCTCGAGTTATTCTGGGAGGAAGCTCTATTTCAATATTGATTAAAGTCTCCCTCGACTTCCCAAGTCGTCCAACGGATCATTACATGCCCTGACATGATAGTATGTGCTTATTTCCCATGCAATCTGATAATGACTCTGTGATTAGCCCAAACCAGGCCTCTTTAAATGATCTCCTGATTACATGTAGTGCGCACACAGCTCTGGACGAGAAAAGCAACCCTGGTAATTGCTATTGGAGCACTTATTTGACATTCACTATAAACAACGTTTGAGGCACTTGAGTATATAATAAAGATTTGAGTTATTGACTTTGATTAAGCTTGATGTTGATTTCTTTTTCTATAAAGTAAAAGAAACTGGAGCTCTCTATGATTGAAAAATAATTAAATGAATTACATGACAAGGTGATTCATTAACCAGATTGATTCAAATAATAATTTAAAGTCATTGTATTACTGTGGGATACCAGTTTATAATTAAAATATAGTTTCTTTATAATTGCTTCTACTAAACTAATAGATCTACTGTAGTAATTGATGGCCCTTAAAGAAACACTTACCATCAAATTCAGCCTGTCCAACACCGACAATAATGATGGACATGGGAAGCTTGGCAGCCTGATGGCAAAAACACACATTTACAAGCCTTTTTAAAAGATACATTGGGCCTTGTTTATGAAACACAAGCAGAATTAATAAACATTTAAAAAGTAAGAAAGATAGACAGACAAACCGATTTATAGAAGAATAGACAGATAGATAGATAGACAGATAGATAGACTCATAGATAGCAATGCATCCATAATTTAGACATTAAAATTGCGCACCGCCATGACGTTCTAAATGTAAAAAATGGCAATAAACCATAAAATGCAAAGTATTATACCGTATGTGAAAACATGAGTCATATGCAAGATACAGGTATATGTAATAACCAGGGATGTGATTGTGCGAGTGAAAGAAAGCAGGACCATTTTTAAGACCCAGCGTGAAGCACTTCTTGTTTTTAGTACCAGGAAATGTGAAGAGTGACACATGGAAATATATTTAACAGCTAGGCTATAATTTACTCCTGGCAAAACAGGACATCTTATCTTTGGGGGAAATGTAAGGGCCAAAAATTCTGTAGTTCTGTAAATAAAACAACAGCGCTTCCAATACCGATCAATCTCATTCAGTAAATAAACAATACAATAGGAATAGGCAACATAAACATGTAAACTGCACATCATATTCTGGCTACACAGATAAAACCATTTATGAATTATTTTAATGATGTTTACGCATTCGAAAATGAAGACTATACAATCTTATTAGCGTGATGAATAAATTATATTAACTGGAATAAACTGTATACAGAAAGGGAGCAGAGAATGTGACCGATGGGACTCTTTATATGCATAAATGACCTTTCACGTGCATTCGATAAGCAATTTTTAGTGTAGGCAACATATGATATGCACTTTTTGCGTGCATATGATACGAAATATACATACCCGGCCAATTGTGGGTATTTGTGGGTACAATTTTTTTTTTTAATTTCCTGAAAAGTAGAGGTTTTGGACATTAGTTTTCCGCCCGACGGCTACGCTATTTAAAGACTTGATTAAATTATGTAGACTGCGGAACGCCGTTGGAATTTCTAATAATAGAAAGGCAAAAGCCATAATACTTTTTCATATAATATTAACTCTGTTTCTTACGGAAGAGGATTAGGGCCAAGCAATAATAAAAAAATAAAACCATCTCGAGATTAAAGTCATTATAATGCGAGATTAAACTCGTTAAATTTCGAGAAAAAAGTCGAAATACAATCTTGGGAATAAACTCATTAAATAACGAGATTAAAGTCATTATAATGCGAGATTAAACTCGTTAAACTTCGAGATAAGGGTCGAAATACGATCTTGAGAATAAACTCATTAAATATCGAGATTAAAGTCATTATAATGCGATATTAAACTCGTTAAACTTCGAGAAAAAAGTCGAAATACAATCTTGAGAATAAACTCATTAAATAACGAGATTAAAGTCATTATAATGCGAGATTAAACTCGTTAAACTTTGAGAAAAAAGTCGAAATACAATCTTGAGAATAAACTCATTAAATATCGAGATTAAAGTCATTATAATGCGATATTAAACTCGTTAAACTTCGAAAAAAAAGTCTAAATACAATCTTGATAATAAACTCATTAAATATCGAGATTAAAGTCATTATAATGCGGGATTAAACTCGTTAAACCTTGAGAAAAAAGTCTAAATACAATCTTGAGAATAAACTCATTAAATATCGAGATTAAAGTCATTATAATGCGAGATTAAACTCGTTAAACTTTGAGAAAAAAGTCTAAATACAATCTTGAGAATAAACTCATTAAATATCGAGATTAAAGTCATTATAATGCGAGATTAAACTCGTTAAACTTTGAGAAAAAAGTCGAAATACAATCTTGAGAATAAACTCATTAAATATCGAGATTAAAGTCATTATAATGCGAGATTAAACTCGTTAAACTTCGAGAAAAAAGTCTAAATACAATCTTGAGAATAAACTCATTAAATATCGAGATTAAAGTCATTATAATGCGATATTAAACTCGTTAAATTTCGAGAAAAAAGTAGTGTTTTGAGAAAAAAAGTCGAAATAAAATCAGTCTTCACATATAGCCATTCAATAACAAAAAAATACTATCGACTTTAGCTAACTATGACAGAATAATAATTAGCAGCGACTAGGTCTTTTTAGAAGGAAAAATCAGTCTAATTTGCGCGATGTACTCGCTTTTGTCCAACATGAAATGACAACCAGTGGACAAATGCAGGGTTATCGCTGGCTTCACCTACGCGCGATTCATCGAGGTTTCACAGGATACAATAAGAGCATAATTAAACTTGTTAAACCTCAAGGTGTGGAATTTCGACGAAGGAGACGCTTGAGAAGATGCCAGTACACTTGCGATAAAATATAAAACATAAAATTAACTCTGGAAAGATAGTTGTGATGATGTGACATAAGGGCAGCCCTGCTAGTAGTTACACCGTGTCCCTTAATCACAAAGATCCTTTTTTCTTTATATCGGACGGCCACGCACACTCACGAACTGACTGAACGCTGTGTTGATGTGTGTGTGCATGCGACCAGTCGCGTGTGATGATTGTTTGACAAAAGTCTGGATTTCATTGGCGCGCGCACCCTCGAATTTAACGAGTTTTATCTCGCATTATAATGACTTTAATCTCGTTATTTAATGAGTTTATTCTCAAGATTGTATTTCGACTTTTTTTCTCGAAATTTAACGAGTTTAATTTCGCATTATAATGACTTTAATCTCGAGATGGCTTTTTTATTTTTATTATTGCTTGGCCCTAATCCTCTTCCGCAGTTTCTTTAACGGTTCAGTCTAATATTTTTTTTTTTAGATAGAACTGACAGTCAACTATGAAGACAGAGAATGAAAGCTTCAGTGTACCTGTGCTAAGGCCAAACAGAAAGCTGAAAATAAAAAATGCTAAATATCCATTCAATTGAGTTTTCCCTACAATGACATCCACTCAGCTGGATTCTTTCATTCAGAAACTATGTGGTTCTGTAATAGTTATGAACACAAGCACACATAAAATGCAATCAGCATTATCATTAAATGCAACAGTTGGTGTTTCCAGTGGTGCTGTAGAAAGTTCTAGAAGGTGAGCAGAAGGAGAAGGAGGCGGGGCCAATCTGATCGCCATGGCACCCGCCACTCTCTGACTCCCACTACAGACACTTCATGGCGGATAATTGAGAATATTACAAGCAAACATTCATCATCTCACACACAGCACACTCAGTTTTGCATCATTTACATGCCCTATTTGATTATGGGGTAGAACGGTTTCAGGGTGACTATTTGCACAGAGGTCTCAATATCACAGCTATTTACACTACAGCAGCCAGACTAAATCACATCTGAACCCACTTCAGCCTTGTGTGCAGATGAAAATAAACCCCTAACCAGAAAAACAAACCCTTGAAGAGTGAGAAGTACTCTTCTCCTTCAAGAGATGTTTCAGTAATGTTAATTATAGTATATTACAGCTAACATGACCAAGCATAGTTATTAGCGTGTTAGGATAGCAAGGCCAGAATGAAAGTGCATCTCACGTACTTATGCTATGCCATTTTATAGTGTAGGCAATACACTGAGAAGTCCAAAACATAAAAGTGCACTTTAATACTTGGATGATGCACTTATTTAACCGAATAGAGCAAAATGTGGAATATTGGACACTTGTACTGAACGGTTGTAGCGGAGGAGGATGAGTGACAAAATAACAGTATAAAATCCAAACACCCCTGTAAAACATTTTATGATCAGCTGCGTTTCCATTACCCTTCAATTTGCACAAATTGATATTGCGAACTGAAAATACGCTCAATGGAAACACGTCAATTTCGCAAAAACTCCCCTTTACGGCAAAAAAGTTTTTACGCTCGCATGAGGAGGTTTTTCAGGCAATTCGAAAAAGGATTTTTTCGCAAAACTGCAATGGAAACGGATTTTGCGCTTTTACAGTCACCTGACTTAGACTGAATGTGTTTTAGGTCTGTGTCCGAAAATAATAATAACAATTGTCATCATTAGCCTATTATAACATTTATTAGGCTACATATGTAGAAGACGCTTTTATCCAAAAAAGGAACAAAGCAATTTGTCACATCTCATTCATAGTACAGGTTGGAAAATAATAATAATATGGCTAAGATTATCACAAATAAACACTCGATTTTGTCCAATATCCAAGAGTGTGTGCGAAGTTTGGAGCACGCACTGGATGAACACTTTCATTTTCCCATCAACAGTGGAATCAACTTAAAATACTCTATCATTTCTACAGAAAATAAAAATACATTATTCGCAACTACTTTTATTTGCGTAATGTAACAATAACAAGAAAATGTTGTGCTTTTGTAAAATAGCCTAACATAAAACAATCAGGCGCGCTTTATGATCTTCGTGAACTGAAACAATAGCTTTTATAGACTAAAGCTTTTAATGTCCACTTTAAATTCGAATCGTCAGCTAATACCTTCTGATTATGTAATCCGTATGAAAGGTGCAGTTCTCTCTAAAGGTGCATCCGGAGATTATGTTTTTAGCTCGTTATTTTTTCAGACGCAGTTAAAATAACTCACCGAAACAGCACTGCGGGAAAAATATCATAAATATCCATGTTTTTGGCCTTTTTTTCCCCATATTAATTTGTGAATATTTTAAATGTTGGTAACACTTTATAATAACTGCACGCTATTAATCATTAGTTAAGCATGAGTAAACAGTTAATTCATCATTTATAAAACATTAATAGACATTAATAAGCAGTTTATAAATATAGCTATAAATGCTTTTTTCTTGATTTATACGCATATAATTCTATTTTCATACTTTGTTAATGATCAATTAATAATTTCTAAATGAAGTATAGCATTATTTACAAACCAGTTGTTTAAGAGTTGTTAGTCATTCATAAGATCACTTAGAAAGTGTACGTAAATGTAGTAAATACAGGTAGTTATAAAGCATTTAGTAGTGGTCAGTTAACTATTTTTGTGAGCTAATCTAAAGTGAGGACTATTC